CAAAATATGTGAAGAACACTCACTTTCAAGCAGAATATAAAGAGAGTGGGAGAGAATTCTAGAGAGAGAGTGCAATTTAAACTCTAAATTTTCTGAACCCCAAACAAGGGGGAGGGAACTCTCCTTATATAGAACAACCAAACCAAAGCTTCCTTGACAAGGTAGAAGCTTGTTTGAATCCATCTATACACGTGTATTGAGAACACACATAGTGTGCAACAGCTGGCTCAAAAGATCTGAAAATATCTGAAAAAAGAGAGAATTGGCCGTCGGCCACTTCAAATGGCCGGTAGGTCATTTCAACTAGCCGACCGGACACTTCAAATGGCTGGCAAGGAGAAAAAGTGGCTGACAAATACCAAAAGTGGCTGGCAGGGCCCTTCTCTCCTCCAGGCAAGAGGCACCAAGGTCTGGCCCAAAAACAAGGCCAAAACAAAAAGGGTTTAGAGGCCCAGAGACAAGGCACTTTGCCGAGACCTTCGAGCGCTCAAAATAAGCACAAACATGCGCAATCATCGCGTGCACAAACGATGACATCTGAGTCTTAAGGTCGGTCAAAAATGGGATGTCTACAGACATATGGACCTGAGGTCATTATGTTTGCTAATATAATGGCCCCAAGGCTATTTTGTTAACATGATGGGCCTAAGGCCGTTCTGTACTACAATGGGCCTAAGGCCGTTCTGTAATTTGATGGGCCTAAGGCCGTTCTGTATTCTGTTGGGCCTAAGGCCATTTTGTATTATGTTGGGCCTAAGGCCGTTCTGTATTATGTTTGGCCTAAGTTCGTTCTGTCTTATGTGGGCCCGAGGCCGTTTAGAAAAGGAAAAATAAGTGAGATTATGAATTCTGAATATGCAATGTTAACTCATGCTCGCACTTTTAATTTATTTGTACTACTATCGTTCACTGGACCTTGGTCACTCTACTTTCCTAAATGTTTTGTAGGTAACCAGCTTGCGGGTCAACCCTAGGTCAGCCCAGAAGCCTGTAGCTGAACTCGTTTTGCTGAGTCACCCGAAGTGACTCTTTGCTTTATTTTAGAAAGCCCTTTAATGGCATGTTTTGTTATGACTGGGAAGAATAGATATGTATGTAAATGTCGACAACACTAAACATAATGGGTTGGTTCTTTTTTTCTTTTACTCTCAGTAATGTGAATGGTGCGTAGGATGTTGTATGTGTATAGTAGTGGCATTTAGACACAGCTCAATGAATGTTTTATCTTTCTATTATTTTGCTTCCATTCAGGCCCCGATATTGAGTAAACTTTAAGATGTTTCTAAATTGAGGTCTAAGGTTAGGCCAATCATGTCCAAACTTCCAGGGGCAGGTTTGGGTCGTGACAG